GCTCTAATAAATCATAAAGAAGAAAATGAAAGAAAACTGTAGTTGAAAAGTAAAAACTTTGTTGACTCGTGCACTGCGTGCAGTGCATAGTTAAAAACCGTATTTGCCTTAATGGCCACACACGCACACACAAGCATGTGATACAGCTAAGGGCAGCCAATGACGACAGCAAGCATAGGTATAAGGTTAAGGATAAGGACAATAATAAGTGACTAAGTGAGTGAACAGGGCACCAGATAACGATAACGTAAATAATGACCAAGCAGTCAAAAAAAAAAAAAAAAAAGTGGGAAAAAAACAGTTGAAAACGATGTGGTGGGAGCAGAGGGAAAACGTGCTCGATATGTTATAACCGCACGACGCTCTCACAGTGGTTCGAAAGACATTGCAAACACACACACACACACACACATACGGGACGAAAGAAGAGGCGAAAAAATTGAATTGAACATTTCCGGGCCGACGCTGCCGGCAGCCATGCGGGCAAGGACAATGCGACAGTGGCGGACAGGAGTCTGGACAGCTCACAGAACATAGCTCCATTGGCATGTCCATGACTGACCCATTCAATTAAGCATGAAAAAAAATGAGCTGAGCGCGTCGTGCGTGGGCGCCACGTGGAATGGCCGGCCTACGTGCCATGGATCCGGGAGTCAGTGCCGTCCTGTTTCGTCGTTCAAAAAAAAAAAAGGGACATCATATGCGAAAACGAATAACAGCACTTAAGGAGCCAGCGACGGACGCTGCCCGCAACAAAACACGCATCACTTGTCACACATACTTAGCAACAGAGACCGGCCGGGGCTGGGGCTGGGCATGCGGGAGAGCTATACCAATAACGCGCTCAAAAGGACTCACTTATTGTCATGTCCTGGTGTTGTTATTGAGGTGTAATACAATTTTTTCCATGATACCCATAACAATGGCAAAACGAAAAAAAAAAGAACGTAAACGAAAACGAAATAGAAATAGAAATAAAATGAAAACGCCATGCCGACGCAATCAGAAAGGATAACGAGCCGTCGCCGTCGTCGCCGTCGTCGTCCTGGTCACATATGGCGGCATTAGTTTTAGCAACAATAGCAAACTGAACAATTGGAGAGGGTGGCTACCGCCCCGCCCCGCTCCACCACGCCCCTGTCCGGCGCGCGGCATTGCATAAACTTGCAATTGAGCCAATTTGTAAAGTGCGGCAAGCCCATTAACGAGCCGGACTCGGCACATAGCACAACAGTGCGCGTTACAGGACAATGCCCACAATGCTGCTGCCAATCGAACGTCAGCACCTGCGTCATAAGGCGACGGCAACGGCGATGGCGAACCAAATGGCAACCAAAGTTTTAGGGCTGCGTGACAGACCAGTTGGGGCATTCGTAAAACTTTTCGGTGCATAGCCCTTTTGATTTTATTTTTGTATTTTGTATTTTCTTTGGGAAGGGCGAGGGAGAGCTCTGGAGAGGTTTACTACTTTGCATTACAAGCGCCCGCAGTTAAAATTAAAATAAAGTTCTTTCTGCTGGCTGGGCAGGAGCTGGCAGTTGGCTTCCTTTTTGTTTTATTCTGCTTCTGTTTCTCTTTGTTGTTGTTGCTGTTGTTGTTGCTGTTGTTGTTGTGCTTAACTAGAAATAAATCTAAAGCTCGCACATTTCTCAAAAGCCTCAGCTCCATTCGCTGATGGATACAAAGCGCGCAGGATACGCCAGAATGGCAGGATGCCAGCCGGCCACACTTGGGCAACGCAATTTTATTTTGCATTTACATGCCCACATGCATTATGCATATATTTGTCTCATGTGTGTGTGTGTGTGTGTGTGTGTATGGTTGATCCTTTGGCTCATAGAATACTCTAACTGAATACCCTACAATAAAGCATCAAGCGAAACCAGCATTACTTGTGTTCTAAGAAAACTGGACTTTTTTATATATATATATATTTGCTAACCATGTATATCTTTCCCATGAATCTGAAGCATAAAAAAAATAATGTAGATACGT